GTGTGACCATGCCTGTCTATAATTTTTCTATTTTGTAGAGATGAGATTTCTCATGCTCAGGCTAATAGTTTTTTATATTTAATTGGATATGTTTTTTGTAGATGGACCTTTTTTTTAATAGATGCCCTTTAGCAGGTTAATGAAATTTTTAGAAATCCTACTTAGCTGAGTTTTTTTCATGAATGGTTATTGGGTCTGCATCTGTTGATATGATTATATTCTTTATTTTCTTCTTTATTCTAATAGTTTGGTGGATTGGTTACATGGATTGACTTTTGATTATAGAATTAGTCTTGTATTCCGGGGATAAATCCCACTCACTGCTGGACGCAGTGGGATGTAATTCTGCCCTTATAAAATGCAGTGGGAACGTTCTTTCACCTATTTTGTGGAGGGGATTGTGTAGAATTGGTGTTATTTCTCCTTAAAATATTTGATAGAAATTGTGATTGAAATTTGAATCTGGAATTTTCTTTTTGGTAAGGTTTTAAAGTACCCATTCAGTTTTTTTGGGTTTTTTTTGAGACAGAGCCTCATCAAGCTGTTGCCCTGGGTAGAGTGCTGTGGTATCACCGCTCTCAGCAACTTCCAACTCCTGGGCTTAAGCAGTTCTCCTGCCTTAGCCTCCCAAGTGTAGCTGGGATCACAGGCGCCTGTGACAACGTCCAGCTATTATTTGGTTGCAGCCATCATTGTTGTTTGGAGTGCCCAGGCTGGATTCAAACTGGCCAGCTCAGGTGTTTGTGGCTGGCACCTTAGCCACTTGAGCCACAGGTGCTGAGCCCAAATTCACTTTTTAAAATAGATAAATGACTATTCAGTTTATCTGTCTTATGACATTTGATGATTTGTGACTTTCAGGGACTTAGGTTATTTTACCAAAGTTGGCCAATTTATATTCAGAGAGTTGTGTGTGTTATTCCTTTTGTTTCCTTTTAAGTTTCATGGGATCTGTGTTGATAGTCTCTCTTTTGCTGTTGATATTGGTAATTTATGTCTTCTTTCCTTTTTTTTTTTTTTTCTGCCAGTATTGCCAGAGGTATATTGTAAAGAACCATAAAAAACCAAGAGCCAGTTTTCTTTCTTTCTTTCTTTTCTTTTCTTTTCTTTTTAACTTTTCAGACTAAATAAGAACTGGCTTTTAAAATAAAATTTTCTTTATTGTTTTCTGTTTTCCATTTTACTGATTTCTGTTCTTAAGTTTATTATTTTCCATCATAATGTTTGCTTTGGGTTTACTTTTCTCTTGTACTGTTTTTTTGAGGTAGAAGTTTAGATCATTGATTTGAGATCTTTCTTCTTTTCGAAAGCCTTTGATAGTATACATTTCCCCCTAAGCATTGATTTAACAGCATCCGACAAATTTTGATATATTCAATTCAAAATGGCTTCTAATTTCCCCCTGAGCCTTCCTCTTTGACCCTGGATTGTTTAGAAATGTGTTGATTAGTGTCTAAGTATTTAGGGACTTTTTCAGTTCTCTTGGCTGGGCATGGTGGCTCTTGCTTATAATCCTATGATTTAATCTTAGTAAACTTGTTTAAAGTTTGGGAGGGTGAGGTGGGAGGATGGCTTGAGGCCAGAAGTTTGAGACCCTGTCTCTACAAAATTAAAAAAAAATTGTTAGTGATTTTTAGTTTAATTATTTTATAGGCAGAGAGCATAGTCTGGTTTTAGTTCTTCTGAATTTGTTAAGTTTTACTTTATGACCCAGGATATCTTTGTAATTGTCTATGCACTTGAGTTAATGGGTAGAATGTTTCATAAATGTAAATTAGATCCTGTTTTTTTTTTTTTAATTATTTATTTATTTTTTGCTCTTGAGTGTTCAGCAATCTCTGAATGTGAGTTTCCTTGCACTTATCCTGTTTGGGGTTTGGTAAGTTTCTTGAGTCTGAATGTTTTATACCTTCTTCCAAAATTAGAAAGTTTTCAGTTATATTTATACAACTGTTTTTTTCTGCACCACATTTCTGTGTCCTGTTTTCCTTCTATTGTATTTTTCAAGGATGCTGATAGACATTAGACCTTTTGGTATTATCTCAGAGGTCTCTGAGGCTGTTCATTTTTTTCTTTTTCTCCTCTGTTTTCATATTGGATAATTTTTGTTGATCTCACTATAAGTTTACTGATTCTTTTCTCTCTCATCCCCATTTTTTGAGCCCATCCAGTTGACTTGTTATTTGATGATTGAATTTTCCAGTTTTGAAAATTATTTGGTGCTTTTTTATACCTTCTGTTTCTCTGCTGAGACTATCTTTTCATTCATTTTAGGACTGTTGTCTTAAGTCTGGGTATACAGTTGTACATGTTGCAGATGTTTTAGTAACTTTAAAAGCTTTACATTTTGAATTAGACAAATCCATTTATTTTCTTTTCAGAAAAAGAGCTAGATTTATGTTATCCCTGTGTTAGAAAGGGAGAAACTGAGGCCAGAGAGGGAGCATGCACTTGAGAGAGTTCAGATCGAACTCGATATTGTCTCCAAAGCCCTGATCTTTCTTTTCACTGAGAACCAAGCTTGTGTAGTGATGTGGCGTCACAGCCCACAGCAACCTCAAAAACTCTTGGGCTTAAGTGATTCTCTTGCCTTAGCCTCCCAAGTAGTTGGGACTACAGGCGCCCGCCACAACGCCCCGCTGTTTTTTTGTTGTAGTTGTCATTGTTGTTCGGCAGGCCCAGGGTGGGTTTGAACCCGCCAGTTCCTATGTATGAGGCTGGCATTTTAGCCACTGAGCTGCAGGCACCAAGCCTTGTGTAGTGATCTTGAAAATACATGAATTACAGTGTGGGCAGGCACACTGGGTTTAGTAAAGCATCATCAATGCTCTCTTTACAATTCGAAAGGATGCATTTGTCCCTTATTACTTTAAATTTCTTGCATTTTTTATTAGGAAATTTATATGGTACTTCTAGGTACATATCATCATATCAAACAAATAAGCATTTATATATAGCCCTACCATTTTAAAAAAATGGTAACCTGCCATCTGTCATGTTGTATATATTCTGTACGGTAGTATTCTTATTTAACAACACATCTTGGAGATAATTTCCTGTGAGTACAGAACATGGTTACTCATTCTTTTCTTTTTTTTTTTTTTTTGGTTTTGTAATAGTCTATTGAGTAGACATACTATAATTTATTTAACCACTAGTTGACTTTTAATAATTTAAATTAACTGTATACTATTTAATTAAAAACAGTTTTTAAAGTGGAGTATAACATGCATATAGGAACATGCACAAATCGTATGTGAATCATTCATTGAATTATCATAAAAAGAACATGCCCCTATAGCCATGACCAAAGACAAGAAATGGACCATTAGCAGCACCCTGAAAGTCTCCTTTGTGGCTCTTCCCTACCACTACCCGCTCTTCTCTCCCAAGGGTGACCGTCATTCTGGACTGCTAAGTCCCTTCCCAGCGTGCACTTCTATTACTCTCTTTAGAACAATGTTAAGGAGAGTAATTTTTTTTCCCCCTACAAGGCAAATCCTTCTTTGAAGCAGGGAAGAGGAACTTGGGGTGGGGGGATTTGGGCAGAATTTTGAAGAACATTTAGTTATTTAATCATGGTGATATAAACATACCAGGACATTGCTTTCATATGGAGGCTAATGTCTGCTTTTGGAGTTAGGTTAGCCTGCTCAGAAAAGCTTGCCGGGCAAACCAAACCAAAACTCGGGAATTTTCTTTATAGGCAGTGAGGTTTAATCCCAGTTCTTCCACTAGCGGTGTGATCTTTGAGCATATGGATAGCATGAATAATACTTTTCAGTGTTGTCTAAGTATTGAGATATTGTATGTAGATTATCTAGCAAAGTGCTTGTTTACATAGCAGGGTCTCAGGAAATATCAGTTTTCCTGTTTTGTTCCTTTTCCCCCTAAACTTTTTTATTCTGACAGATTTCAAACCCATGGAAAAGGTGCAGAATAGTACAGTAAACAACCACGTATACGTCATCTAGATCCACTACTTAATGTTTTCTACATTTTCTTTGTCTCTGTCCCTCCTCCCCCCTCACTGGAGAGTTAGCTGCAGATGTCGTGACGCAGACCCTTAGCGCTTCAGCACGGGGCTCTTTCTTAGGATATTCTCCTAGAGAATCACGGTACTGGTACCTAAGGTAATGTGGTTATTCCAGGTTCCACACTTACTCTATTGCTGTGTTTTTTAAAAATTTGGGATTCCATTGCACCTAGCAGTCGTGCCTCTTCAACCTCCATTTATCTAGAAGAATTCCCCAATCATTTTCGCCTTAAGATTGTCATCAAGGTTTCTGAAGAGTTCATTCCTATTGTTTTGTAGACCATCCTTCAATGTAGCTTTGTCTGATTTTAGTCCTCTTGATTAGACGCAGGTTAAAGGTTGTAGACAGAAGGACTTAGATGGAATTGTTTGCTCTCATTGATTTATTTCAGGAGGAACACGATGTCATTTGTCCCATCAGTGGTGATAATAGATATGTTTTCTTGATTGAGGTACATTTTCAAGGTTTCTAAATTGTAAGGGCCCGCTGTGGGTGATGTCTTGAGACTGTGTGAAAGTCATGCTCTGCAGTGATCTTTCATCTAATGCTTTTAGTGTTGATGATTCTTACCTCAACCAGTTATTACTATGGAAGTTGTACAGTGGTCATTTTCTGTTCTTTTATTCTTCTGCATTTATTAACTGGATTTCTTTTGTAAAGAAGAGATGCCCCTTTTCTTTTTCTTTCTTATTTACTTTCTATCACTGTGGCATGATGAATTCTTTATTTAGTTGTTATCCAATCCTGTCATTATTCATTTTGATGCTCAAATTGCCCTGAAGTTGGTTAGAGGGAGCTGCTTAATTCTGGGTTGGCACAGTTATAGCAAGGATGAGCTTTCTTTAGCATTTAACATTTGTATCCATTTTGTACCGATAATCTATGGGGATTAATGTAGGTAGCATCTCTTAGACGCTTGACATTTTGTTCATTTTAGATAACCTCTCTGTGATATTTTTTCAGCAAATCACCGAATTGAAGAAAGAAAACTTTAACCTAAAGCTCCGCATCTATTTCCTTGAGGAGAGAATGCAGCAGGAATTTGATGGCCCTACTGAACACATCTACAAAACCGTGAGTGGCCCACTTCTCACTGTTGTCCCCTGTGTCTTTTCTCATAGTCATTCCAAGCAGAAATTTAATGAATATTTGTTCTCAGAGTTCACAAGCGTAGGTAGGGCTGTTTTCATTTAATTTGAATTGATTATGGGGAGCATAAAGATACTAGCATGACTATAATATTAAGCAAAAGGTACATAATTTTAAGGAAGTGTTTCACTCTTTTTAAAATCAGCATTCGATTCACTATCTTTATTTCATTTGTCTTTTATAATTATTTAGAAACAGGCAGTGGAATGGTAGAATGGCCTTGGACTTGAATTCTACTGTTAGCAATTAGCCTATAACTGTAGACAAGTCACTTCAGATCTCTGGGCTTGCTTCAGAGTTAAGTGATAGGCCCTCTGGCCTGAGGTTGTTTGTGTGGATGAAAATGAGACGGCTGATGAAAAGCTCCTGCACACGGTCAGTGCGCCGCAGTTATCCTCATTGTCTTATCGAGGCTTTCTCTGGCGGCCCAAAGTTAGGATTGTCAGGTTTCCTGTGGTGTGACTCTTCTGTATTCCTGTGTGCTTGCTTATAACTGTCAGAAAAAGTCTGTGCCCATTTGAAGTCTTGACCTAGAGGTCTTTGTCTGAAAACAAACCTTGGTTCTGAAAGTTGAAAAAAGAACTTGGCTTTCTTGAAAAGATGTGAGTACAAACAATATTGCAGTGCCTGTTTCTTGGCTTTTTCTAGCAGATTAGCCCTTGGCCTGGGAATTATTCCATCTTTTCTCCTCTGAAGTTTGTACCAGTGGAAACTTTTGAAGGAGGAAAAAGAACTCTCCTTGAGTTTCAGCAGATGAACTTAAATTGACTTGTCTAGAAGAGGAATTGTACTGTACTTCTGAGCCTTTTCAAGAACTGAAAAGCTCCCTTGTTCCTTAAGACAGTTTTTTTTCCCTTCAGTGTGGAGGTAGGAAGACAATGAGGATGTCCTCTTTTCTGGAAGGGAGTGGTGATGCAATCACAATTTTAAAGGAACTGATAGGAAAGCATTTTATATGTAAGTATAGGTGGTCATGCGTCTCAGAACTTCTAGGGTGATAGGAAGCCCAGACTGCTGAACCTCTTTCAGGCACTGTTGTGGCATTTGCATTATACGTTTGTCATCTTACTGTAATTCTCACAGCAGCCCTGTACCATGGAGAGGTATCCACTGGAAAGACTTTCCTCCACCCTTAGCTCCTGGTCTCCTAGATCCAGCTGATACTATTTATTCCTCATACAGAGGAAACTTATATGTGTGTAGTCCAAGTGAGTGTGTAAGTGTGTGTATAAACTCCTCGATGCAAGCTCGTTCTGTTCTGCACCTGACATTCTTCTCTCGACAGTATCTTGGATATCTTTCCCTAACAGTAGCGTAAGAGCTTCTCCATTCTTTTATGTAGCTTCGTGATCTTCCATTTTATGCATAGAAGGTGTCCTGACTCTTACATACATGATCACCATGTGTCTAAGTTTATAACTTGAGATATTGGACTTGAGAAAAATCATGTAACGGACATGTTAGTTATCCATTCTTCTGAGTTTATGAGTTGGAGTGCCAGTGGTTCATCAGAAAGCAGAGCACTTAGAATGTATCATGTCAGCTCATACCTGGAAATAGAAGCCCTCTGTCCTTCTGAGAGCTGGAAAAGGAATCCTCCTGTTAAGGGTGCTTGTGCATTTTCCACAAAACCACAGTTAAAGACATTATGTACTTTAAGAAAAAAGAGGGATGCACTGAAAAGAGTAGTTTCTTCTAGAAACACTTCCACCTCAGAGATGACTTCTTTAGTTCTTCTTGTTTGACAGTGAAAAAAAGAACCTATTTGGAGTCTTATCTCTTAGGTTTTTCTTACATATATTTGCTAGCTCACTTAGTCTTCAATTTGAGGACTGAAATTGTCACGGGGGCTTTAGGTTTTTCATTTGACACTTGAAGGACTGGAGAGGAGAAACGCAGGTTTCCCGTCCCTGGAAAGGTCGAACTGCCAGCCTTGTATCCCGGGTCACCAGGAGGGCAGGGCCTGGGTTCACTCTGGGGTCTTCAGTGAAGGAGCGAAGACGGGAGCATCCACTGCCCTACTGTGGTCTCTGCTTGGGACGGCTTGGGCAGGATTTGGATGTGTGTCCTTCAGCTCCCATGCCCACGCCCTCAGCGCCCATGCCTCTGAGCTTTCTGTTTTGGCTGTTCCTCTCAACCTGGAGCGCTCATTCTCCCCAGATCTGCTTTTAGGCATATTCTCTTGGGTTGGCAAATTTTACTGGCAGTGCGATTGCTATTTAAAGTAATACCTGTGTGTTATGGAGTAGAATGTAAAGGTTATGTGAGTTGTTAAAACAGGAGGGAGATTTCTAAGAATTTTTGGATTTGTAGAATCCTCTGCAACTGTGCACCCAGACCCCCTTTTTCTACTTTGAATATTCTGCCTGGGATACATTTGTGGCTAAGTTTGAGAAGCCTACCCCGTCCCACTGTCCCACCTTGTGTTTCAATTCTCGTGTGGATTGTCAGGCCAGGTCTGTGACTCCCTTTGTTCCAGTCAGTCAGGAAGAAGACAGTTGTGGAACACTGTGTGTCCCTTATAGATTGTTTGCCCCAGTGTGGTTGTGGTGTTTTTTGTGTGTACCCTAAAATCTTATGTTGAAATGGGACAGACCACGATGCAGCCTCCCACTTATCCACACGTATGTCTTATTTTTTGAAAGCCACAGTGTGTTGCCACTGCTACAACCACCACACGCGTGATGGTAAACAACCAGAAGTAATTGCCTTGGAGTGGTAAAACAAACTGCAGAATTGCTTATAAATTTGCTTGGCAGAGGGCAAACAATTTTTAAATCAGCCTCACTTGTATGACATTTATGCCTTGATATTTGAATGCTCTGGCTGTTAGAAGCTTGGAGCATTTACATAATTGTTCCAAGTCTTGAGAAATCCGGGGCTTTCTTTGGAGACCACCAATGTTTAATAATTCCCTTTTCCCTGTGCCCTGAGGCTAATGGGGTTTTCGAATCTAACATCTGCCTATTACAAGCATCACATAGTCAGCCGGTGCTGGAAGTGGTTTCCCCACTGTTGATGTTAATAGGTCCTGTATTTTACACTTTTTCTTTTCTTTCTTAATCTTGTCTTGAAGAACATTGAGCTCAAGGTGGAAGTAGAAAGTCTGAAGCGGGAGCTCCAGGAGAGAGAGCAGCTGCTCATCAAAGCCTCGTGAGTACCTGTCATCCTGTCAAAAGCCTGCGGGTCTCTGCCCGGGCTTCTCGGGGGCCTAGGGTGGTCAGTAAAATAGAACCTTACACTTTTCTATGCTAGTTGTTCTCCAGCTAGGCTCTGAGGACCCTAAGGAGGTTTTTGTTTTTATTTACTTTCTTTGAACAGATTTTAAGTATACAGCACAGTGAATTTTCACAAAACAAACACCGCAGAACCACCATTCAGATCAGGAAATAGAACATTACCAGCCTCTTAGGAGCCCCCTTTGGGAAGCCTCTCGAGGATAATTGCTGTCCTGAGGAAACACGCGAGACCTCTAGAGATTTTGGTCTTTATCTTAAGATCAGGTGGGAAGCAGTCACAGGTTCTGAGCAAGTGAGACAGATTTCTCTTTTTGAAAAGGTTACTCTGGATGCTGGGTGGGGAATGAATCACGGAGGGAGCCGGAATGGAGGCCGGAACACCAGTCAGGAAGGTTGAGGTGATGGACGAGTGATGTGTAGATGAGGGGGATGTTTGAGAAGTACAGTCAGGGCTTGGTGAGGGATGGAAAGGAGGTGTTAGGGAGGCCTCCTGTCTGGGGCTTAAGCATGTTCACAGTGACTTAGCCGCTCAGCTTCCTCTCCACTTTCTTTTCATCCCAAACGCAAGGCAGGAAAGCTAAGATCGTTCTTGTTTTTGCTGCTCTACCGTTGCCCCAGCAGACCTCTTTCCCTTCTTGTCTCCTTCCAGCCCAGGTGGCTTTCTGTGACCTGGCCCTTTGGAAAGGCTCAAGAGTTGAACCGCATGTGGCTTCCTCCAGCCCACGTTAATGTCGTAACTGACTGCTCTGGGGCACAGTGACGGTCTCATGCATGTAGCACTTTTCAGGTTATGAAACATTTTCATATCAGTTTCCATCCCATCGTTATCCTGGGAGCAGTACCCTTGCTTTATAGAGGATGGAGTTTAGGCCTGGAAAGGGGGAGAACCATGACTCTGAGCCCGGAATGTCAGAGCTGGGAGTAGAGTCCAAGGCCCTGACTTCTAGTCTGGTGCTAGACATCCCATTCTTGTTTTATTTTCTTGGGTAGATATAGTATGTGTACAATATCTGTGTGTCTGTTCAGTGGTAATATCTGCCCTGTAACTGCGCAGAGTGATTTCCCTTCACCTGTGTCTACCCAGCATGCAGCATTATGTCTGTGGTAGATACCTGTTGATGGAAAATGTCTTTATTAATGTAATGCCCTTAACTCCCTTTTTTTGTGTTATGATTTTTTATCTAGGAACAGGATATGGGACCTGCCACAGGAAAACCCCCTGCTTTTTCCTAAAGAACTATAATTAGAAGGGAAAGAATCCAGAGGAAATGTTGAGGACTGAAAGGGTAGTGAGGCTGGCATTTAGAGAGGCTTCCTTCTTATATTGGGTCAAGAGCTGGATTAGACCAATTTCTCTCCACCTTTCCTCTCCTTAGGTCTTGCTGTCTGCCCTGTGTGCTAGCCCAGATTCTACAAGGAAAGAAAGGATAGAGGGAGAGAATAATAATTATTGAAATCCCCTTTGTTCCAGACCTTGTGCCTGGCACTGGACAGACATTGTTGCCTTTGATCTTTATAACAGTTAATGTGAGGCAGCCAGTCCTCCCATTTGAATGGTGAGAAAACTGAGGTTCAGAGAGGTGGAGGAGTTGCCCATGTTGGTTAACAGAGCTGGAACTGGTCTGGCGCAGAGCCCATCTGCCATGCCATGAAATAAACGTATTTCTTTGCAGGTTCTCCATTGTTATTTTATCAGTGATAATAAGGAGACATTAAAAACAAAGGCAGTCATATTGTTGGGAGTAAATTTTATCTCTGTAGCTTTAAAACACAAACAAAAATAATAATTCCGTTAGTATAGGAAAATTGCACCATACTGCTGAGTATAAATTTTATTGCTACAGTAACTGTAAAATACAAAGATGATAAATGAAAAGTTGGAACATTTATTATTGGGAATATATTTTATTGGTATAACTAAAACACAAACAAATTGGATAATTCCAGTACTTGTTAAAAATTGTAGTCAGCCTTTTGGCAATGTATGTGATTCAGACGGTAAAACAGGTTAGATCTGGGCAGATAGGAGTGAGGTGGTATATCTGCCCTCTGGGTGATGGGGAGGGTGAGGGTAGGGGTTATGCGGTGAGCCATTCTATGAAGCCTCAGGGCTAAAACCTTTGTGAGTGAGTAGCAGAAATTCATTACTGGAAAAATCCTATATCTGAGGCTCAGGAAGGAGGGGCTTTTAGTCTAGAATTCTTTTGCTGTATAATGCCTCTTGAGGGGTGATAGAAAAGATTGTGAATCACTGTGGATTTGAACCAGTACTGATTGAGAATGAGCCCAGGGACAGTAATGGCATTAATCAGGAAGTGGGAATGGCCAACTAGCAGAGATCCTGGCAGGGGTAGCATGAAGCCTCCCCCCAGCGACTCAGTAGGGCCTGCGCTGTGTGGGCCTCATAGGCCACATGTCAGCAGATAGAGCCCTCAGATGAGAGATCAGGGGGCCACCCATGTTAGCATGCTAATGCTAAGAGGTAATCATCTTGTTCACATGAGGAAACTGAGGCATAGGAGTCAGTTGGCTAGGGCCAGGCGATTTACCCAGAGTCACATCAAGGATATAACAGAGTAGAAATTGGGAAGCAGATCTGTCCAACTTCAGATATCATGTCCTTTTCCCCCAATTGTTCCATTAAACATTGAATTCCATTACAATGATAATCATGACCCTGGAGCTTTCTGAAGCCTTATTGGTGAAAGGAAAAAAGCTATGAATAAAGTCTTTTATTTGAAGACAACTCATGTTTGGGACTTGGGCTAGTATGGCCCTCTTGACTTTCCATTGTTCTCAATAAAAAATTCACGTGGCCTGTATGTGTCAGTATTCACTCACATGGCTCTTGGTTGGAAACATTTTATTTATCTCTAAATGAGGGCCTGGGAGTCTGGTGGTGAATAGATTTGTTTTGTTGCAGTTTTTCTGAGAAACCAGCTTTAGGTGGAGCCATTTCCTTTATTATTCTGCCTCCTGGAAACTCACAGTCATTTTAGAAATCTGATGAAGACTGGTCAGAGTGTAAGTCGTACAGATTATGTCTGACGCTTTTTCTCTTGGCGCCAGTGGTTGTGGTGTGCCATCCCCCTGGCCACGGGCGCCACAGCCAGCAGTGTGCTCTGTGTGTCACATCAGAGTGACATGGCATGCAGGCTGCTCACGTCATGTCCCCTCGTCCTCCACTCAGTGCAGTCTCTGCTCAGGTTGAGGGTGCTGCGTTCGGTGCAGTCCCTGCCCAGGTTGAGGGTGCTGCGTTCGGTGCAGTCCCTG